TGGTGATGTCCTTGGAGCGCACTCAGCCCCAAGATCACCCCTAAGCAGGGTGTGACTGCCAATCCGTGTCTCCTTCCCTCTCCCCCCTCCCCGCTGGTTCCCTGGCCAGGCCTGGCGGGAGGAAATTTCACCCCCACAAAAGGCCATTCCCCAAGAAATTGGCAGCCTCCAGCAATTACTGTCAGATTGTGCTCTTTGTAGTCATTTCTCTCAGGATTCGTTGCGGGCTTAGGAAATTGGGTTACATTGTTATTTGAATTTACACACAAAGGGGTCCGAATGTTACCTCTGGCGAGCCAATTGCTTCTAGACCTTTGATTCCCTGCGGATGACGCACCCCTGACCTCCAATTATTCGAGGAATCGCCACCCAGCGGCCGCCGGGTTTTAATCAACCTTTCCTCTCTCAGCAGGTTAGCGCCCCGGCGCGATTTGCGGAAGCATCCTGGAAACCAGTCCTACTTTCCCAGCTCACCTTCCCTCCAAGAAGCGGGGAGACCTCACCAGGAACTGGGGCCTCTCCCTGCGCGTAAGAGACGGACAGACACACAGAAACCAACCCTCCCGCAGGCTCTCCTTGCACGCGGAGCTGGGAGTGAGGGCAGAGGGGCGGCACCTCAGATCCCAGAGGAAGTGGTAGGTTACCTTGGGGGAGGCGGGGCGAGTCTGCCTCCCTCCTCTGGATTCAGGGTCTGAGGTGCTCCCTCCCACCATCACCCCCGCCCCCTCACTTTGTAACTTCCACGCTGACCTGGCCCCTAAGGATCACCTATGTCTACCCCCCCTCTTACCCCCCAATTCCTTGTGTCCTTAAAAATAATCAAGCCGGACCTAAGCTGTGTGGCCTCTCTGTGAGCGGGGCGATTGGAGAGGTGGGGGAGGACGGAAAGTGGCCAGGGGTTCCAGGGACAGGGCGGCGTGGGCTGCAGACCTCAGCCCCCAGTTTCTGGGTGAGAAATTGACAAGGTTTGGGCCAAGGTCCGGGCGCCTGCAGCTCAGCCCTCGCGTACCTCGCGTAGACAGCTGGGCGTGCGTACCCAGCTCCCTGCGCCCGCCCGGCTGTCTCCGGGCTGATTCCTGGGCGCCGCAGGTGGGGATTGCAGCTGCGAGGTCAGGGATGGTGGGAGCTGCCAGGGTTTTTGTCTGGAAGCTGCGTGTGTTCCCCTCGTACTTGGGTTTTAAGTTCACTGGGAGGATGGGACAAGGAGGATCCCCTGGCACTGGGCGCTGGGACCCCGCGCTCCTGGGATGGGACGGAAAGGCGAAGTCTGACAGCTGGCCAGGCTGGCCAGAGGCCAGATGGGTTATTCTTTCCTTAAACCGGTGTCAGCAAACACTTCCGGTCTGGGTCCACCAATGGGAGCGGGCGGGAGGGGAAGGGGGCTTGGTCCCTCAGTGTGGGAGCAGAGCTGGGGTGCCGAGGGATGAAAGATTTCAAGACGCCCACGCAGCGCCAGAGTGCGCGCGTCTGGGCGCAGTGGCTTCGGTTTCAGCCAGCGCGCGCGAGCTCGCAGATGCTCAGGGGACAGAGGGAGGAGCATCCGGGGCCTAGCGGGGAGCTCCGGGGAGCGGATGGGAGCGGGGATGGCAGCTGGGGTGTGCGCCGGTGGGCTTGACCCTTGAGCAGCTGGGCCTCCTCCGGACCCGCCCTGGTGGGGGGGAATGGCCTTTCAGACCCGTGCGGGTGCCAGCCGGCCAGTCCCCGGAGTCTGGAGTGGAGAGGGTCCGTGTCCTGGGGGGAAGGGAGGGAGAGAGATTTTAAGACCCGTGGAGGCTGCAAAGGAAGGGGGTGGTTAAACTGGGGGACAGGCGGCAGGCTACCTCCCTGACCCCCCCTTCTTTCCCCCTGCCACACCCCTTGTGCTTTAAAGAGAAGCCTCGGGCTAGGTGTGCATCCAAGCCTCTTACATGAATTTCAGTGTCTACAGAGGGTGAAGGCGGAAGATACAACTGACCTTCTGCTCCCAGGAGCAAGCATTTCTGCAGCTCCCTGGCTGGCCTAGCTTGGGGTGGCTCCAACCCCACCAAGGTACAGGGTGGGGCAACAGTAGTTTTCCAGTGAAGCGTAGTAACAATATAACAACAGTTGGTCGCATGAAAAAGTAATACAATAATTAATACATAATAACACAAGCATGAACTCTGTGATTCGCACACACTTTCGACTGAAAACCTATGCAACCTGCTTTATTGCTGCTCTTTATTTTTTGAAAAGGAAACATCGTTGGTGACCAGCATCCCACGTCAAAATTGAGATTGTGTGACCCAGGGGGCTTGGGACTCAGGGAGAATTCTGCCCAACATCAGTCTCTGCCAGATTATTTTTTCCAGGACCCCAGTTACTAATCCTGCCAGTCATCTTCTCATACATAAACTTTCTATGACTTCCAGCCACCAACCAAATGAAGTCCAACTCCGGCACTCACAGATCTTAGCACAATTGGACCCCAATGCAGTGAGACATGACCTGGAGGAAGAAACAAAAACATCGATGATGAGAGAGAATCATTGATTGCCCCAGCCACAATTTTGAGGGATCCTCACGTCACCTGAACTTCTGACCAAAGGGCTATAAATTTGGGGGTTCCCATGAGCCTGGTGCCTTGATATTCCCTCTGATTGGTCACTATTCCCCCAGACTGGTTACTACAGTAACCCTAGGCTCAAAGGTCGAACTTCACCTGGGACATGTGAAGTTCTCACCCTCTCTTTCCTTATTGTTTTTCTAGTCCCTTTGGGCTTTCTTCTTTTCCTTCTGGATAAAGGGCTTTCTTCTCTTTAATTTGTAACTATAGACCTTTTGCTGTGCCCAGCTCCCTCATTCTATGGAAATGTACCTGTTGCAGCTTTTCAGCTTCCCTATTTTATGGAAATATATCTTCTCCTGCTCTGCAGCCCTGTGCTTTCTCCATGGTCCCCTTAATTTCCAAAATTTCTAAAATTTCCTAAACCTGTCCTATTTTACCCCCCAAATTCCTGTTTCATCAAGAAGGTGGCCATCTGCAAGCCAGGAAGAGGGATCCGAATTACTGGTAAATATCTATTTTGAAATCCGCATTATTACCCGGTAAATATTTATTTTAAAATCCGAATTACTAACCGGTAAATATTTATTTTAAAATACACACTTACTAACCGGTAGATATTATTTTAAAAATCAGCACTAATAACCAGTAAATATTTATTTTAAAATCCGCACTACTAACCGGTAAATATTTATGAAAAAATCCGCATTATTAGCCGGTACGACTATTAGCAGGTGCACCGGTTAATAATGTGGATTTTTCAATGAAATATTTACCAAGTGCACCGGTTAATAATATGGATTTTTTCATAATATATGCTGGTTAATAATGCGGATTTTTCAATGACATATATACAGGTATATATAAAAAGATTCACTTTAATCCTTCCCTAACAAATATCTTAGATAAAGACACAGCCCAGAGAGTGGTTTATTTCTCCTCTATGTTGAAACACATCATGACACCAGCTCCTGGGAGCCGTGTGGAAGCCCCGCTCTTTTTTCATCTGAGAGGAGACTGTTTCTCCCCCTTCCACTCTGAGGATCTTCTCCGCTTCCTCATCTGTGTCCAGCCACTGTTCAAAGCCAAGTGCAAAATCTTTCTTAAAGACCATGACCCACAAAAATACAAAGCCCTTTCTCAGATGAGGAAACGGAGGCCAAACGGGAAGGCAAGGGACTGGCTCAGGGTCACAGAGTCTGTGCTGGGAGGGACCCCGACATTCCACTCAGGGTCCTTTTTGGTTCTCCCCCCACCCCCCAATACACACACACACACACACACACTCTCTTCCTCTGAGAAGTCCCCTCCCTGCATTCTGCTTCTGGACACAGATGCGCCTGCCCCTGCTCCCGGGGGACCCTCCAGCCACCCTCACTGACCCGTGGCTTAGGGTCCGGAAAATTAAACTGCGAAAAGATAAACATTATTTCCAGTCGGCTTTGCAGGATTAAGGCTTGTAATAAAGAGCATTAGCTAGAGGTTTCTTTCAAGGCGCTCTCGACCACGCCTCCTCCTTAGGGACTATGTAGACACCCCCCCCTCCACAGGCTTGTTCCTGGGGTCCCGTTGGGTGTGGGGCTCCAGCTAGCCATTCTGTGGCCAGGGAGGCCCCTCAGCACCACCCTGAGTCAGCACTCCCAGCAGATGGGGAAAGTGAAGGCACCTACCCAAGGCAGAGGCACGTGGCTGATCAGGGAGTAAAGGATGGAGGCTGGGGGGCAGGTGCGGGGATGGGGGAGACCTGACCCGCACACGGCCTCCAGCCAGCCAGCCTTTTCCAGGAACAGTGAGCCTTGGGGAAGAAAGTCCACCTGAGCCGTACAGCCTCACCGCCAGGACCTCAGGAGAGTGTCTCTCCATCTCCTGTCTGGGAAGCCTAGCCTCACCCTGCATCCCCCAAATCATAGCAGCCTCCCCCAACCCATAGCAGGAGCCTGCAGCCAAGACTGTCCCCAAGACCTGGGCCTGGTTGCCTGGAGACAGTGGGGTGTGAGAAGAACCAAAGAGTAGCCTGGGATCCCAGAAAGTGGCTCTCCACCCCAAGGACCAGCCCCGTCCCCTCTCTGGGTCTCCCCTGCTGTTGAATACAGGGATGGGCTAGATC